TGCTTAAAAGCACTATTCTTATTATCTACTTATCTATAATTCTATTTAAAATGAGAAAGAAGACTTGATTCGTGATAAAGTCAAGTTGCTTCTTAGTTATCAATATATTCTTTCGTAGACATTCACTGATTCATCATTTAATAAACTGTTCTAAAAATTCATTACAAACTACAAAGGATTATGAATAATTATTCTGAAATAGTACCTACATGTTATTTTAGCACTTAGAAAAGAATGCATCTGGCATTTAATATCTGAACTCACTTCCTTATCTGCCATGGTGCCCTTGCATCATTCAATCTATCTTTTGCAGGTCAAATATAATTTCCTGATGGGAAAAAAAAACCCGAACAAAAGAAGGATTGAGTACTACACCTATACTGTAGCCACTTTGATACTTCTTGTTAAAAAAACGTGTTTAAACGCTTAGTAATTACTGGAACAGAGCGTATTTGTTAACCAGTGGTGTACCTTGTTTATATGAAAAGCCTAAAAAGAAAATCAGCAATGAAAATACAGATTCTGAAAAATTACCTCCATATTTAATGCAAAAATATCACTGAACTTACAAATTGTTTTTTCTTATCAGTAGACAGCCTGTTCATTTCTTCTTTGTCTGCCTTCATTTCTTCTTCATTATACTGAAAGTCACGGACCATAAATCTGCATTGGGAAAGAAGTACAATTTATAAATTGCTGTGCAGCTATTCCTTAACAAAAAAAAACAAAGCAAGGTTGCACTTACTTGTTGTCTCTTGCTTTATGTTTGAACTCATCCACTGCCTTCCTGAATAAAGTGACATTACAGAGATAACTATCCTGGTCCTCATGAAGAATACTGCAAAGTAAAAGATGCCAGGGCCCATAAGACAAAAATCTTTAATGAAACCACAAACTGGAATAAAAACTGAAGTTGTAATTCAAAACTGGCAAATGGATTTAGAGTTTTGTATTATATTGTATCATTTAGTTTACAGTAATAGATTTAAGGCAGCATGGTTCAATTAGACAACAGTAACTGCAGTTCACCTACACTATCCTTTTAACAGAAGTAACATAGACAGTGTATTTTACACAAGACGCCCACTCTTCCCAATAAACAATGGCTACACAAACTTCATTATTTCAGAAAATACTCAGTGCCAATCTAAGTGTCCAACACAAAAGTGCTTTTGGTAGCCCCATTTATTGAATGAAAAGCATGAATTGAATCACATATATTGTTTTGGGAAAATGGTTAGAATAAGAGTTCTTCTTGGTCTGCACTTACAAAATTCTGTGCAATTCAATACTATTTCACCAATACAGTTTATCCAATAAAGAATGTTACCTAAGCCATTTAGAATCATGCAGTTGGAAGGGATCTTGGAGGTCTTGCAGTCCAATCCCCTGCCCAAGGCAGGAGTCTTCATATCATTCACACAAATCAGTGGAACAACCTGCCTCCAGAAGCTGTGAATGCTCCAACACTGGAAGTTTTTAAGAAGAGACTGGACAGCCATTTGTCTGAAATGGTATAGGGTTCCCTGCCTGAGCAGGGGGTTGGACTAGATGACCTCCAAGGTCCCTTCCAACTTTATTATTATTATTATTATTATTATTATTATTATTATTATTATTATTATTATTATCATCATCATCATCATCATCATCATCATCATCATCATCATCATCATCATCATCATCATCATCATCAATCTTTTTTGGAAAACCTCCAGCCATGGAGCACCCATAACTCTAGTAGGCAAGCTGTTCCACTTAATGTTCTGTCATAAAATCCCTCATTTCCAGACTGAATCTCCTTCTGAGCTTCCACCCACTGCTTCTTGTCCTGCCCTCAGGTGGAGAATGTGGAGAATAAATCTATGCCCTCTTCCCTCTGACAAATGATAGACTGCTATCATCCAAAACAATTGAGATCATAACTAAGTTGATGGACTGCATTAAGATGTGATATCTGTCTGTTTTAGGTTTTGTGTAATTTGTGTGTAATATATACTTCAGATTATAATTTATTCAACAAACCATAGTTTAGCACAATGGCTGGGGGAGGCATTGTGGTAAAACAAATCAATTTCATAGACCAAGTTACACATCAACAGGCAACAAAAGATCTCCCCACAAGCATATTTGAATACAGAGAACTTGCGTCAGTTCTGCAGGGGATGGTTTGGGTAGAAAAACTCAATTCAAAATCAAATAACAGAGAGGAACATTTTTAGGGAGAAGAAATATTTAAATCATTGTACACATGGAATCCTTAAAACATATATTCAGTCCATTTTGGTTTGTACTCCAATTTCCAAGAATCAAGTATATTAAAAGGATATGAAAAGTGAAACAAGATTACTTGCTGGATCGAGGAACTATCATATCTGTCAAAGTTTCATACTGCTTCATCCAATCAGTGTGATTTATCCTGAAATGAAAAAGCAATAATTCCCAGTCTTAACATAGGTGTGTAGGACAGAATCAAGTTCTTTACTCCACTGTATTTATAACTTTTTGCATATACTAATGAGTTTCCAAAAAGCTGACTGCTTTTTCCATGTTCTAGACTGTGTCTGATTTCATTTCCAGCCATAAAATGTCATCAATTGTTCATCAAATCGCATGACTGTTGTTTTGATACATGCCCCTCCTTTGGAAAGGGCGTTCGTGTGCTAAAAGAGCTTGCAGGAATAGGAAATACTTTCATTTGTTACTTATATATAGAAAGACTATACTTTCACGCTCCGTGATTTGTCTTGCTATAGATACATGCCAAAGTAATATTCTAAATGAAAACCTTTCTTTTTCTACTTACATTCAAATTTTTAAATTAAATATGCACTAATAATTATATCAACAGCTATTTTGTGGCTTAAAAATATGATATGCAATATCTTGTTTCTGCCTAGGTTTCTTATTAGCTTTAAAATGTGTTTTTTCTAAAGTAACACTACTTTTACTAGAAATTTTCAATTTGTTTTAAAAAATTAACACCATTAGTATTTTTCTAACAATTCTGCTAGAACACTAGTACAATTTACTTTGATTACAGTATTATTACAAAGAAAACAAAAGTGCGTATAGTCAAGGCCATGGTTTTCCCAGTTGCAATGTATGGATGTGAAAGCTGGACCATAAGAAAGGCTGAGCGACAAAGAATTGAGGCCTTTGAACTATGGTGTTGGAGAAGATTCCTGCGAGTCCCTTGGACTGCAAGGCGTTCAAACCGGTCAGTCCTAGAAAAGATCAACCCCGACTGCTCTTTAGAAGGTCAGATCCTGAAGTTGAAACTCAAATACTTTGGCCACCTAATGAGAAGGAAGGACTCACTGGAGAAGGGCCTAATGCTGGGAAAGATTGAGGGCAATAGAAGAAGGGGACGACAGAGAATGAGGTGGCTGGATGGAGTCACTGAAGCAGTAGGCGTGAACTTAAATGGACTCCAGAAGATGGTAGAGGACAGGAAGACCT